GATTGCTCTTTAGAAGAAACTCAAAGACTTTGGCCACCTAATGAGAAGGAAGAAAGACTCCCTGGAGAAGAGCCTCATGCTGGGAACGATGGAGGGCAAAAGAAGGGGACGGCAGAGAAGGAGGTGGCTGGATGGAGTCACCAAAGAAGTCGGCGTGAGCTTAAATGGACTCCAGAGGATGGTAGAGGACAGGAAGGCCTGGAGGAATGTTGTCCATGGGGTCGCGATGGGTCGGACATGCAACTAACAACAACAGGGCCTAGAGCCACATCTGTCCTGGGGGAGCCCATCTATGTTTATTCTTCCCACCCCTCAGCACATTTGATGCCCTGGGAATCTAATAAAAGCTGCCCCCACCTCCATCACACTGTCCAAGCTTCTTCCTAAGAAGAGGTAAAGGTTCCCTCACACATACGTGCTAGTCGTTCCTGACTCTAAGGGGCGGTGCTCATCTTTGTTTCAAAGCCAAAGAGACAGCGCTGCCCGAAAACGTCTCCGTGGTCATGTGGCTGGCATGACTAAATGCCGGAGGTGCACGGAACGCTGTTACCTTCCCACCAAAGGTGGTCCCTATTTTTCTACTTGCATTTTTTATGTCCTTTCGGACTGGCAGAAGCTAAGACAAGTCACGAGAGCTCACTCCGTTACACAGCGCTTTGAACCGCCGAACTGCCGACTTTTCTGATCGATAAGCTCAGCGTCTTAGCCATTGAGCCAGATGGGAGAGACCAATTTCAGCGGTCTTCAGAATGGTCTTCACTGGCTCTGAAGTGGAGGGGCTTTTCTCCCTGAGGCGACGGGCATCCTGACGGCAAGAGGTGGTGGCCGGAGAGAGAGAGGGGCTCAAACCAGAGCTTCCAAAGCCTCGTCCTCTACCGCTTCCTACGGGACGTGACTCAATTCCCAGGACCCCGAGAGCAAAGCTGTTTCCGACGGGAGGCTGTAGTTGTCCAGGAAGTAAATATGAAGTATGTAGCTGGCCAGGAAGTTAATACTCTTTAAGCTGAATGGAATTTTCTCTGCAGCCTTGTCCTGCCAACATAATTACAACAATGTTCTACCTCCAAAATCTGCCGATATCAGCAAAGGGTGCTATAAAAAGCCAAAACGGCAGCCGGCAGATGCGGTGATCTCACTCACTTCGAGTTGGGCGGTGCCCATCCCGCCTCGCCCCTGTTTTGAGATGAAGCTGCGTTTTCAAAACTTCAGGGCCAGCAAGCAGGGCTTCATTTTAAAAGCACCCAGGTGTGCTCTGACGGACATGTTTTTATTTCGGCGCTTGTAATAACACATTTGTTCCCATTCCAGGAAAATGATTTGTTCACAATCCGCTATCAATCCATGTCTCTGAGTTTTGATTGTAGCCGATTTCTGTATTCACCGGCCAAGCCTTTTTTTCTAATTATTACTTGCATTAGGGATTATCCTTCTTACTATTTATGTTGTTGTATTTTTGGTCATGGATTGCACCGGTGAGGCTAAAACCAATTTCGTTATATACATGAGGTACAATGACAATAAAGGCTAAAGGTAAAGGTTCCCCTCACACAAATGTGTTAGCCATTCCCGACTCTAGGGGGCGGTGCTCATCTCCGTTTCAAAGTCAAAGACGTCTCCGTGGTCATGTGGCTGGCATGACTCAATGCCAAAGGCGCACGGAATGCAGTTACCTTCCCATGAAAGGTGTTCCCTATTTTTCTACTTGCATTTTTACGTGCTTTCGAACTGCTAGGTTGGCAGAAGCTGGGACAAGTAACGGGAGCTCATGCCGTTATGCAGTGCTGGGGATTCGAACCGCTGAACCGCCGACCTTTCTGATCGACAAGCTCAGCGTCTTAGCCACTGAGACACAGTGATCCCTTATAAAGGCTATGCTATACTTAATCTGCTGGTTGAAATGGCAGTTACAAAAATATATATATATTTGTTTTCTTTCCAGCTTGCTCACCAGGATTCTTTAAACAAGACGTCTCCAACAGCGCCTGCGCGAAGTGTCCCGCACACACACTGCCTTCTTTGGAAGGCTCCACTTTGTGTCCTTGCGAGGAAGGCTACTTCCGGGCTCCGAGTGATCCGGTTTCCATGGCGTGCACAAGTAAGTGAGAAACAGAACCGGTGCTGGGGAGGGGCCATGCCCGGAAGGACCGTTGATTTGTCCCTCCCCTAGGCTAGGCGGCTGGACAATACCATCCGTCTGCAGGTATCAAGACCTTGGACTCTTTCTTCACACACTTGTTCACTCCGATGGGAGGAGCTACACTGTTATTTTGTTTTTTTCATATTTTGTTTACGTTACTTTCCATTTCCACCAAACAGTTTGTGATCTGGGCTTTAAACAATCAAAATCCGGAGTATAAGACGCACCTTTTTTCCTCTAAAAAGGAGGCTGAAAATCTGGGTGCATCTTATCCGTCAAATACAGCATTTTTTGCCTCCTGAAGCCCCGCCACCTTCACCAAAATGGCCGTGCATAGCCTCATGGAGGCTTTCAGAGAGCTCATGGGGGCTGGGGAGGGCAGAAATGAGCAACAAATGGACCATTTTTTGCTCAATTTGCCCCCCCCCCCAACCCTTAGCAGCACTCTATAAGCCTGCATAAGGCTATGCATGTAATTTTTAAAAAAACAGGCCAGTTTTTGCAAAAAATGGCCATTGTTTGCTCGTTTTTGCACACACCCCCAAGGCTATTGATGCCTTTTTTAAAAATGGGCCTGTTTTTGCGAAAAATGAGCCGTTTTTGGGAGGTTTGCAGAGTGCAAAAACTTTTTTCCCCCTTGCGGAAAGCTTTGTAGTTAAAGTGATTGATGAGAATTAGATTGATCAAGTGCTGTGCCAGCAGAAACAAAGTCTTAGGTGTTGCAGATTGTCAGCGATTTTCTTCTCCAGCACACGGATAAATACACCTGGAACCCCCCCTCTCTCTCCCTACCTACCTACTGCATTTCTTTCTCTCTCTCTCTCTCTCTCTCTCTCCCTCCCTCCCTCCCTCCCTCTATCTACCTACCTACCTACTCTCTCTCTCCCTATCTACCTACTGTATTTCTCTCTTTCTCCCTCCCTCCCTCTATCTACCTACCTACTCTCTCTCTCCCTACCTACCTACTGTATTTCTCTCTCTCTCTCTCTCTCCCTCCCTCCCCCTACCTACCTACCTACCTACCTACCTACTTTTTTAAAACAATTGCCTCCTCTAAACTTTGGGGTGTCTTATATTCCGGGGCATCTTATACTCCCAAAAATATGCTGTTGTAATATTCATCACAATACTATCAAGAATATAACTATATATCAATACAATTACAATAATACATAACATCTTCATCATCAAATTCTCTCCACATTAACATTTCCTCTTTTTTATGTATATATCTCCTCCTTTCTAACTTCTGTTCCTATTGTCTAACCATGGGTAAAATACATCCCACGTCAAGAAATATTCAGTTCCTTTTTTATCCTTAATAATGAGCGTTAATCTGTCCATTTCTGCGCATACTAATATATTCTTAATGACCCTGTCATCTGATGGTATTTCATCATTTTCCCCTTGTTGCGCAAATACAATTCTAGCTGTGGTTAATATATATAAAATCAGATCTACAGTCTTTTTGTCAATTTTTTCTGGTAGAATGCCCAACAAAAAATACCCCAGGTTTCGGGTCAATAGGACCTATGCTTTTATGACTTTTCCCTCTGTTTAGTGAAACAATTCTGGAATAAATAAATAAATAACCCTTAAGGTTGGCTTCTACAATTTTGCTTTGTCCAAATCCCATCTAAGGAAGTGCAGAATGGAAGAGGAAGGAAAGGCAGCAGGAGATAAAGGGCAGAGAGATACACAGTGGAAACTGAGAGGGAAAAATGTGCAGTTAAATCAGTTAAATTGCTGGTTTAAGGAATCATCTTTGGGATTGCATCCATGAGATCTGGGTATGCTTTTATTTCATTTTTCCCAATTATTCTTTTTTGTCCTCCTGACAGAGCCCCCCTCTGCTCCTCAGGGGGTGACAGCGATCGGTCTGGGGGCTAAAGTCCAGCTGCGTTGGTCTCCACCCCAGAACTCGGGAGGCCGCCAAGATGTCAGCTACCGAGTGTCATGCGAACAGTGCTGGCCAGACTCGGGGGACTGCCGATCTTGCGACGCCGCTCTCCGATATTCGGACAATCCGCACAAACTCACCGGCACATCCTTGACGGTTAGCGATCTGGAGCCACACGTAAACTACACTTTCACCGTAGAAGCCCAAAATGGCGTGTCCTCCTTCAGTACCCAGCGCAGCTACGGAGTCACGAGCATCAGCGTCAATCAGACAGGTAAAGGTCTCGGGTATCGTAACCGGATTAAAAGGGAGGGGATCTAGTGATACAGTGAGATTGCCAATTTCTGGGGTCTGTCAGTCCGTGGCCCCTGGGTGGAATTAAGACAGGCTACAGTTCTTTGATTTTTGGGGACCGTGTTTCCCCGAAAATAAGACAAGGTCTTATTTTCTTTTGACCCCAGAAATAAGCGCTTGGCCTTATATTCGGGGAGGCCTTATTATTTTTGAGGCACAGGAGGGGATGAGCGTGGTCACCTCATGGCTGCTGCTGTGTTGCGATATTTCCGGGGAGGTCTTATTATTTTTGAGGTGCAGGAGGGGGCGAGCGTGGTCACCTCATGGCTGATGCTGTGTTGTAATATTTTCGGGGAGGCCTTATTATTTTTGAGGCACAGGAGGGGATGAGCGTGGTCACCTCATGGCTGCTGCTGTGTTGCGATATTTCCGGGGAGGCCTTATTATTTTTGAGGCACAGGAGGGGATGAGCGTGGTCACCTTATGGCTGATGCTGTGTTGTAATATTTTCGGGGAGGCCTTATTATTTTTGAGGCACAGGAGGGGATGAGCGTGGTCACCTTATGGCTGCTGCTGTGTTGCAATATTTTCGGGGAGGCCTTATTATTTTTGAGGTGCAGGAGGGGGCGAGCGTGGTCACCTCATGGCTGCTGCTGTGTTGCAATATTTTCGGGGAGGCCTTATTATTTTTGAGGTGCAGGAGGGGGCGAGCGTGGTCACCTCATGGCTGCTGCTGTGTTGCAATATTTTCGGGGAGGTCTTATTATTTTTGAGGCGCAGGACGCCC